AACCCTATTCTAATTCTTAAGGCTCCCATATTAACTAAACCCAAAGACTCCCAAGAAGCAAAAAGCCCGGCGGTCGCAGGCAGCACAAGTGCGGCAAACACGAGCACGTTGGGTACCAGTCCATGTTCTTCAGGCCTCAGTTCTTGCTTTGGGGTCGCGGGGTTCAGGGTTTAGGGTTTAGGGTTTAGGGTTTAGGGTTTAGGGGGGGTTAAGGGGTTTAGGGTTTAGGGTTCAGGGTTTGAGGGGTTGAGGCTTACGGTTGCTTGGAGGCCCAAGGGACTTAGTAAGTTGGGTCCCGTCAAGGCTTACTGTAAGGGCTGCTACAAGCGCTCTATAAGGGTTTCTGGAGGTCTACATGAAGGATCATGGGGCTTAGTAACTAGGTCCTAGGTTTATGAATGAGGTTGACTATATGTATAAATACTTAACTTATAACCTTACACATTGATCCTCCAAGTAGGGGTCCATGTACCCATATAGTGTGTACTGCGTCCAGAGGTACTAGCTGATAATGACGACTGCAGCCTTTGTGTGGCTTAGGTCTAGGTTCCGGGCTCCGAGTTGAGGTTTTTGGATTCAAAGTCTTGGGTGTTGAGATCTTTTGGGCTTAGGTTTAGGGTTTAGGGTTTAGGGTTTAGGGTTTAGGGTTTAGGGTTAGGGCTTTCGGGGACATGATTGGTAGCATGCTTATCGGCTTAACAGGATAGAAGAGGTCTCACCGAAGCGCCGAGCGGCTTCATAGGGAAGTCGATGATGGAGCACAGATGCTCAAGCTGCTGTGATGCAACAACCACCATGACACTGCCCAGCAGCGGCGGCAGATTGAGAAGAAAGTCAGCGGAAGCCCAGCTGCATTTGCGCCGGAAGACGTAACACAGCCTTGTTCCAATTAGCAGTGCCATGGGGGCAACCCCCAACCACCATGCCACGGCCCTGATAACTTCTCGGCTGGCCTCCATAATCGGGTCAAACGTGGTGAACCTGTACCGAGGCGTGCAAAACCGAAACCCTAAGCCCTAAACCCTAAACCCTAAACCCTAAACCGACCCTAAGCCCATCGTAACCCGAAAGCTCGGAATCTTGGGTATGTAGCGGCGAGCCTGTACCAGGCAGCGGCTTTGCTTAGGAATAGCCAAAGGACCTGGGCTGTCCTAACCACATGTTAGTTTTTGGGGACTTGGCTGTTAGGGCTTAGGGTTTACAGCATAGGCTTTTTGTGCTTAGGGGCTTAGAGCATAAGAATTTGGGAACCTTGGAGTTTGGGGGTTTAAACCTCGTGCTGTGATTGTTGCTTTTTTCCGAATACCTGAGACTAAGATTGAAAACGAATGTCAACGATGGCCAAAGAACCGGGACCATGGCTGAAACGGCTTGACGGTAGGTGAAGAACTGTTTCGCATGCTCCCGTAGCCTTGGTTTAGGGTTTAGGGCTTAGGGTTTAGGGTTTAGGGCTTACGGTTTAGGGTTTAGGGTTTGGTCTCTTGTAATTAAGAAGCCCTAAACCCCAAAACTCCAAACCCTAAGCCCAACCTCTAAACCCTGAAATCCCTAAACCCAAAACCCTAAACCCAAAACCCTAAACCCAAAACCCTAAACCCTAAACCCTAAACCCTAAGCCCTAAACCACCAGGCAGCAGCAGCGTGCGCACCTCCGTCTGCACGTATTCCTCGAACTGCTCACGGGTTCCCCACCAGCTGGTGATACACCTGGGGTTCTTTAGGGGTTTAGGGTGTAGGGTTTCGGGTTTTACATCAAGGGTTCCTCAGTTTCTGTACCTTTGTACCATGTATTAGCATAATCAGCCCCACCCTCAAGCTCAGAATCGGGGCACTTGTTGGTAATTTGGCGGTCGCATAGTCCACAGCTTCGTTGATGGTTGTCGTCGCAGCCTCGGTTCCCCCCGGTGTCCCCTTAATAATCAGGGCAGGGTTTAGGGTTTAGGGTTCAGGAACCCTTAAATAAAAAGGGCAAAAGGGGTACCTACTGGGGAACCTAGCAGCAAGAGCTCTTGACCATATCCAGAGAAAACCTGGCCAGTTTGTCTCCATCAGCCTCCATGCAACGAAAGCAGTCCCTGTATATCCTGGGCTGTTCCCATCGGAGGCCCGACATCATGGCTTTCATTGCTTCTTGAGAAAATACCATGCAAAAATGCTCAACAACGCTCTAGAATCGCCATGTTGGCATAGAAGGTTGCTCCGAAAATCAGCGCATTCACGGCTTGAAAGGCCCACATGAAGCCCTCGTCTCCGCTCAATGGCACGAAATCACTAACGATCGTCACCTAGGCTGGCACTTTCAGGTGTTTGACAAAACATAAAACGCACCCTCATTGGAAAATCTAGCAGAGTCGAGCGTCCTACTGAGTAGTAGAGTCCTCAACAGAAACCTCTTTACCGACCGTTATGTGAACCCCAAACCCTGAACCCGAAACCCTAAACCCTAAAACCCTAAATCCTAAACCCTAAACCCGATTGACCTTAAACCCTAAACCCTACTAACCCTTAGCCATAAACCCTAAGCCTAGGCATAGAAGGCCGTTTCTCAAGTCCAGCCACAAGCAAGACGGTGACGGCTTGGGAGATGTGACCTGGACTTTGTTTAGGGTTTAGGGTTTAGGGCTTACGTAATGAACAACCAGTGAGAAAACAGCAATGCAGGGGCCTTAATGATTAGAAAATGGCTTTGGGGCCCATTATGCTATAGTTAGAATACGGAACCCCCACAATAGTATACGTAATAATAAACGCCCATATTTTAGTGACTTGTGCTTCATACTGGCTCCTTCAAGGAACCAGGTCCAAAAACCCAAAAGCATTCAAGTATGGTACGCCCTAAACCCTAAACCCTAAACCCTAATCCCTAAACCCTCAACCCTAATCCCTAAACCCTAAACCCTAATCCCCAAACCCTATACCCTAATCCCCAAACCCTAAACCCCAGACCCAAATCCAGAACTAAGTGACAGATGGTCAGCTCTGTGGGGCGAATCAGGAGCTTAGGCTTCTCACCCTCTGCGCGGCTTCTGGCAAAAGCCGCAATCTCGAACATGCACCACAGTCCTCGTTTCGGGTTCAGGGCTGAGGGCTCTGAGGGTCTAGGGTCTAGGGTTTAGGGTTTAGGGTTCAGGGTTTAGGGTTTAGGGTTTAGGGTCTAGCGTCTTTAGGGTTTAGG